TGAGCGTCGACCTATGGACAGGGAGTCAGGGTTCAATTCCCAGTCAGGGCACATACAGGAGTTGTAAACTCGATTCCCAGTGTGGGGCGTGCAGGAGGCAGCCCATCAGTGATTCTCTCTCATCATTGATGTTTCTCTTTCTCCCTCTCCCTTGTTCTCTGAGGTCAATAAAAATATATTTTTTTAAAAAAACAATTTAAAAAACACACACATTTGGACTCAGATCCAAGTAGAGCTAGAAGTGAATGCAGGATAAAGATGGTGTTGAATGCTTTGCCCACCTCTGGGCCTCACTTTCCTCATCTGGGCTGTGGGATCATAATCCCTGTTCTGAGAGATCGGAGGCGACGCCGAGCAGAGAGAGCTGGACGGGGGGGCTGGACGTGGGTCCCAACCCGGCTCTGGCTCTGGCTCGGCCTCGGGCCGCCACCGCCCCTCTCAGGCTTGGTTTCCTCATTGTCAGGCTCTCCCAGCCCTGGCACTTGTGGTTGGCAGGAGGGTCAGGTGAAGTCATGGATTTCACAGGCTTATTGTTTACACCAACAGGTCTCCAGCCCTCTGGGAGTTTCCTGTTTGATGGAGAGAAAGGTTGGGAAACAAAGAACTAGGATGTTGGAAACTAGTCCGGATGGAGGAGGAGGCTATTTCTTCAATGACTCTGAAGGAGGGGGATCCCGGCTGCCAGGAAGTTTCCAGAGGGGTGTGCTGCCCAGAAGGGGGGCTGCATGGGGTTGGGGAGCGGGTGGGTGAGGCGGGAGTGGGAAAGGCCCAGGCGTCCCGTCCCGTCCCTGTCCCGGCGGTGGTGTGACTCAGCCCCACAGCTGGCTGCAGGCGCCTTGGGGCCCGGAGGTCAGACTAGGAGGTCCTGAAAGAGCCACAGACCTTCCCGGGCCAGGGCTCACGACCCGCCCCCCTCCCCAGGGCACGGGTGGACATGCACACTCACGGGCCACACCCCTTCGGTTCTGACCCAGGAATCTGCGTTTTTGGTTTTTTAAAAATAATTTTTTTATTTTCAGAGAGGGAGAGGGAGAGAGAGATAGAAGCATCAATGCTGAGAGAGAATCATTGATCAGCTGCCTCCTGCACGCCCCCCACTGGGAATGGAGCCCACAACCCAGGCCTGTGCCCTGACCGTGAATT